GCGCCGGGTGATTGCGAAACGGCTTGTCGACACCAACCGGGCCAAGGTCCAAGAGGTTTGCCTTGCTACGCGGCAGTTCGGCGTCGCCGTGCCTGGCGGGACAGAGGGCTTGGTTCACTTCCGCACTCTGCTCGAGTCAAGCCTCAAGGCCGGCACGGGCGCTATGGCTGTAGTCGACGTGGACTGGAAGATCGCCTTTCCGTCCATCGAGTGGGACAGCATCCGAGATGCCGTCGAGGAGCTGCTGCCGGAAGTCTCGGCATGGACACGGTGGTGTCATGCCGCGCCAGGGCGGGTTGTCCTGCCGTCGGGCGGGGTGCTGCGCGTAGACCGCGGGGCAGAGCGAGGCGACCCCCTTGGTCCCATCTATTGTGCTCTCGTCCTGGCACGTGTGGCGGCCGGTGCCCGGGATGAACTGGCCGCGGCAGGGATCGATTTCTTCGACGCGTGGTATCTGGGCGACGGGCAGATCGCGTGCCGGCCTGAGCACGTTGACGCCGTGTTCCGGGCACTCGACGCAGCCGGCGCTCGTGTGGGCGCTGCGAGAGCACGGGGCGCCGAGGCGAAGAGCGTCGCACGCGTCGTCGGGCCGCCTGCAGCTGTGGCTGCGCGCAGAGGTTGGGCCACGGAGCACGTGCTTAGCAGCACTACGTTCGACCCGTCGCGCCAGGAGCACGTGCTTGGGGTCGACTTCGGGGACGCGCACGCCCCGTCCGACCAGATCCGCCGGGCCACCGAGGCCGTCTCCGAGCTCCACGAGGCGCCGGCGCAGGTGGAGGACACGGCGTCGGAACTGATCCTGCTCCGCAAGTGCGCCGACGTGTGCAAGGTGGTTCACCTGCTGCGAGCCTCGGGCCCCTCGATCGACCCAGCGGCGCTGGGCGATTACGACTCCATGTTGCAGCGGTCGTTGGTGCGGTGCCTCGGCGGGGACTTGGACGACCTGTCCGCGGCCCAGTGCGCTGTCGGCGTCTCGGAGGGCGGGCTCGGGGTGCGGCGCGCCGCAGCCACGGCGCCCCCAGCCTTCGTGGCGTCCCGGGTCGAGTCACGGTGGCTGGTAGACCCGCTCGTGCAAGGCGTCTCCGAGGCCGGGGTCGGGCCCGAGGGCATGAACGCCGCCCCCGGGGGCCTTCGAGGCGTCGCTCCCGGCGGCCGCGGCGACGCGAGCTCGGGGCCTGGTGCAGCAGGCGGCCGAAGCACGCGGCACTCTTGAGGCGGCGCTCGCGAGGCGCCGGCGCGAATCGGCCTTGGCCGCGGACGACCCTGTGCTGCCCGCGGGAGCCGAGGACGCCGAGTTCGAGCCCGCCAGCCTGCAGGCGGCCTTGTGTGCCATCCAGGACGAGCTGGCGGTCGTCCGCCTCCTGGAGCAGCTGGGCGTGCCCGCGCTGCAGGATCGCCGCCGGCGCCTCCTGGAGCTGCGCGACCCCTCCGTGTCGCGCGAGTGGCTGTGGCGAGTCTCGCGCGCGCATGGTCCAGCGGTGCCCAGAAGCGACTTCCAGGTGGCGGTCTGGCTCCAGGTGGGCGCAGTCTGCACCAGCCCCACCGCGCTCTGCGCTCGGTGCGGCGCCTCGCTTGGGACGACTGGCCCCCGTGCCCTCTGCTGTGCCTTGCCGGAGGCCACCCGCGGGCACTACGACGTCCGGGGCGAGGTGCTCCGGTTGGGGCACTTGGCAGACCCCGCCGCCGCGACAGAGGCTCTCGGGCTCATTCCCTCTGCTCCAAAGCTCCGCCCCGCGGACATCTTGACCTCAGTGGCCCTCCCGGGCCGCTTGGCGGCGTCGGACATTGGGATCGCGAGCCCCGACGCAACCGGCGCGGGCGCGGACTGCAGCGACGCGATGTACCGCAAGAAGCAGGGGGACTACCAGGAGTACGAGGCTGAGCTGCGGGCGCAGAGCATCACCTACCGGCCAATGGTTTGGTCGGCTTGGGGCCGCGAGCACCCGGAGACCAGCGTGATGCTCTCCGCGATGGCCGCGCAGGCGGCCCGGCGCCGTTGGCTGCGGGGCCACCGGCTGCTCCTCCGAAGGGTCCGGAGCGCCATCGGCGTCCAGCTGGCGCGACGGGCCGTGCGGATGCTGCACGCTTGCGTGCCGCGCTTCGAGGAGGAGGAGGACGCGGCGCTCTTCGGGGGCCACTGCGACGACGGCGCCCGGCACGAGCCGCGGGCAGTCCGGCTCCTCGCGGGGGCGGCGGACGCCCGGCCTGCACCCGCGGAGCTGGGCGAGGCGGAGAGGGCGCCAGCGGCCGCCCCCGGCGGGCTGGGCAGCGACGCGGAGCCAAACGAGCCAGGCGGCCGCGTGCCCGAGCCCACCGAGCTGGGCAGCCTGGAGCCGACGGAGCTCCGCGGGCCCGGGGAGCCGCCGGGCAGCGCGGACGCCGGCCTGGACCTCGCGGAGGCGGCCAGCAGCCTGGCGCCGACGACGCCCCGCGGCACCTCGCCAGAGCGGGCCGGGGCGGACGGCGCCGAGGCGGGCTTGCTCTGCCTGCGCACCAGCTGCTGCCGCCGGCGGCCAGCGCGCTGCGCGCTGGGAGTGCCGCGGGGGGCCGCGTCGCGCGTCGCCGCCCTGCGCCTCGTGCGCGGGGCGGGCCCGCGGCCGAGTGGGCGCTGAGAGCGAGGGGCGAGGATGTGGTAGAGGTTGAGGGGGAGGGAGGAAATGAAAAAAAACATCCCTGCAACATGCGCGCACCATTCGGTGCCGCCGCGGCGAAAAGAGCGCGTGCTAGTGGAACTGTCCTTGAAATGGGACGTAACCGATTTTCGCCATGAGTTCGCGCTTAATTGTTTAAAGGTGCGGCCCGTGGTGGTGCAAAAAAACATGGTGCGCGTCGATCGCACGTAGACCGCCGCGCCGACCATGCTAAAATGAGCCGCGCTGGTGAGAGCCCCGACACTGTGTCGAACGGGATCCAACACCACTGGCCTTTGCCAAAAAGGTCGTTTTTCTGCTTCCGTATGAAGCTTGCCAAATGTACGTCCGAAGCTAACAAATTGATTGCTTCAGATGTTCGGCGGAACCCGAAAACAACAAAAATATGCGATGGCGGCGCCCCTGATACCAGCTGGCGTTTGTGCTGAGATCCGCGCTGGCACGAACCCAGCCCATTCGTGCGCAGTGATGCCACGCTTTTGGTTGCTTACATGAGAAGCCCGTTTTTTTCAAGCCCCCAAAACAACATGGCTCTACCGCCCCACGCCTGGTCGAATGTGTTTTCGGGATTCCGAGTTTGATGCCGCGCTCGCACTGCAGCTTTGTTCAACGTAGTGGACTGCCGCGCCATCCCGTCCATGCCCGAGAAAAGCATGGGGAGCTTGTCCGCGAAGTCCACGGGCAATAATTCCGCCTGAACCTCATTCTCAAGCCCGTGGACGTGAAGCCGCAGGGCACGGGAGTACGCTGTTTTAGTACTGGGCTCACATGCTGCTTCGAGCGCTGCGTCGGCTACCTTAGCGAGTGCTAAACGCTTCTTTGCGGCTTCGTCCGAGGACGCGGCGGGCAGAGCTGTCAACTGCGCCGGGGAAAAAGCCAACGATGAAGGAGACGAGCTTAAACTTCGTGGCCTTGACGGTGGAGCTGGCGGAGCCCGGGCCGCAGGAACTCGGCCGTCGTGCGATGGCCAGGACCATTTCTGGCGGCGCGTGATCCAGGTAAAGGGGCGTCAATTTGTGAGATGCCCCGCGCCGGCTCCAGGACAGGAATGCCATCGCTGCCGTGGACAGGGGGTGAGTGGCTGCTGCCAGCCGGAAGTGGGCTGGTCACGAGGCGCATGGCGCTCGAGCCAGGATCTGGGTGCCCCTGGTGCGCGGGAGAAATTGTTGCATGGACGGCAGCGTGCCAAATGTGAACGCGCCTGTGAAGCCCAGCGTGCGGATGCGGAAGGGTGAGCAGCAGGCGCGGCGTGCCAGCGAAGCCACCGACCTTCGCAGGCCATCCGAAAAACAACGCAATGCGCGACGGAGAGAGGGGGGGAGCAAGCAGGGAGAGAAAGAAGCCAGGCACACAGAAAAAATAGGAGGCGAGAGCCTGGGAAGGACGACGTGCCTGTAGAGTCGTCGCCGCGGATGCGGAGGGGGGGCAGCGGGCGCGGCTTGCCCAGCGAAGCCGCCGAGCCACGCAGGTCACCCAACGGAATAAAACGGCAACCGCGAATGACCCGGATGTTTGTAAGAAAGGGGGCCGGGAATTGTTCACAGGGGGCAGGGCCGCGACGCACGGGGGCAGCAGCAGGCCCGGCAGGCCCAACCGAGCCGCCGACCCCGTAAGCCCCGCATTGCGATGCGATCGTCGAAAGGGTGAGGGTGAGGGGCAGGGTAATAACGGCAATGCAGTGCGTGGCCGCTGCGGCATGACTGGGGGGCAACGCGCCAAGGCTCATGAAGACGTCAGTGGCGCGAGTCGCTCACATCTAACCGCTGCACTTCATCCGAGGGACGGTGACCGGCGCAAGTGGACGGAGGAAGAGGGGAGGGGCGGGGGACAAGCAGCAACGATGAAAGGGCATGGTGGAAGCCGTCGGAATGACAAAACAAATATCGTTGAAGCACTCCGTTATTCGCCGGCTTGTGGATGCATCGCTTTGCGGGCGACGGCGACGCGGCTAACGACCTGCGCGTCTAGCATGCCCAACCTTCGGACATTCACGTCGCCGCCGGGCCGTGCGGAAAGCCCTCCAGCTGGCGACAAACAGTGAGACGCGCTCCGGGCGTGGCCCGGCACGCCCGTGAGATGCTGCTCCAGAAAGAGGGGAGAGGAGGGGGGGGAGCGAGAGAGAGAGAGAGAGAGAGAGAGAGAGAGAGAGAGAGAGAGAGAGAGAGAGAGAGAGAGAGAGAGAGAGAGAGAGAGAGAGAGAGAGAGGGAGAGAGAAAGAGAGAGACCACAAACACGCCCAAACACCACCGGTTGGTATAAGCGGGCACGCCTGCCTGCCGACAGACGCCCCCCCCCCCCCTCGCCCGCGACTCCACTACCAACCAGACCCCGTCCTCAGAGAACCGAAAATCAGTTGCTGCAGTCCTCTACCCAGTGGTATTCAATGATCTGCTTCTGGGCGCAGCGCGGGCACGGGGCGCTGGGGCGGGCCCCCTCTGCCCGGCACTGCGCGCGGCTGCGCTTGACAGCCTTTGCATTGAGATGACATTGGCGGCAATGCGTGCTCAAGAAAGCACGGATGGCGTTTTTCTCCTCTGGGGGGCCGCGCTGGAACTTGGCGTCTACGGCTGCCTGGATCGCAGCGGGTTGCTGTCGACCCATCATGGCCGAGAACTCGTTGACAAGAGGGCCGAGGTTGGCGTTGCCGTTCGGGCGCGCCCCCGTCTGAGCTTGAGGTGCCGGGGGGCGTGGGGGAACGGCGGGTCTCGTGCGCGGGTCCTGTGCAGACTGCTGCCCGCTGCTGCCCTGCCCAGGGTCCGACTTAATCTTCTTGCGCGCTGGCGCGCCTAGCGGCGCGTCGGCCGGAGAGGGGGCAACGGCGGCGAGCGCCGGCCCCGGGGGCGCCATTGCGAACGGCGCCGCGGCCAACCGAGCAAGGCCGAGCGACCAGTCGATCGAGAAATCCTCATGGATCAGCTGCAACTCTAAAGGCTTCCGCGCTGCAGCCTTCTTCGCTCTCCGTTTCATCGCTTTCGCGCACGCGAAGGCGAGCGGCATGAGCTCCGCGCGTTGAGCCTGGATTTTCACGTGGGAGGACGTCTTCGCGGTGGCTGCGTTGACGCATTGGTTCCCCAGCAACAAGAAGAAAGCCACAATCTTGCGTCGCTGGTGGCCTTGTCGGATACGAAGGCTCGGAATCGATCTGCGCTGCCCCCGTGGCTGGAGAGGCAGATGTCCTTCCAAGAGGCGCGCGGAGCATTCCTCATGCTTACTGCCGCTTTAAACTTGGAAGCCTCCTGGCTGTCGGGATTGGAAATGAGAGCCGCCATAGCGTTCGCCATGGCGGGATCCTCCATCTGCTCCGCGACGTTCGCGAGCCAATCGCGGTCAATGTTTAAGCGGCGCCAGCCGGCGAGCCATTCTTGCGGGTCCGTCTTCCTTTCCAACTTCCTCCACGGGTAGGTGGAGTCCAAATCCTTCTGGACTTGCCCCTGGGCGTCGGCGCGCTTGCTCAAGGCTTCGATGGCGAGGTCCTGCTGGGAAGCCTGGTGGTTGATGTCCTCCTTGGCCGCTGAGACGCCGGCGTTAATGGCGGAATTCAGTGCGCTCTCGTGGTTGGCGAGTTCCTTGCCGATGGCTGCCTGGGCTGCTGCTGCGAACTGGGCCTCGAGAGCGCCGCCTGGTTTGATGGCCTCTTGGGGTCGCGCCGAGGCGGCGGCTTCGCCGAGGGCTTCCGGGAGGACAGGCGCGGCCATGGATGCGACCAGGCAGCGGTGGGCAGAGAGGCGCGCTGTCGGGAGCGGGCGAAAACGGCTTGAAATCAGCGGGCAGCGCTGGCCATGAAGAGGTCGGCAATAAATGATCACGCAACGCGGGTGGCATGCCAGACGCAGGGTAACATGAAGGACATCAGACATCAGTGCGAGAGGGCCGAACGGTCAGTCACTGTCCCAGGGGGCGCGGCTGAAGCGGGAGGCCCGCCAGCTCGACGACGCCCGCGTCGCCCGCGCCCGCCCCCTCACTCTTATCCGCAATTGCGGGGCGCTACGTATTTTTCACGGCGCGGACAGAAGCACCGTTGGAAGGTCAGTAGCGGGGGCCCTCCTCCACGAGCCGTCCGGCGATCGGATCCGAAACAGATCGGAACCAGCTGGCCACCGCTCCCAGCGCTTCCAATGCCGGAGGTGAGATGCGCGAAACCAGGGCGCCCCCGGGTCTTCGGCGAGAAGCGCGAAGACCTGCCGGCACACGCCGTCCCGCAACGCCCCCGCTAAGAAGGTGAGCGCTTGGCCGGGCAAGGACCTGGGGGGATGCGCCCAGACAGTGTCGCCCAGGCTGGTGGCCTCAAACGCGGTATTTTCCGCGCAATACCACTGCGGCGCTTGAGACAGGAAGCCGCCCCTATCGGAAAATTATCCTGGCGAAGGACCCAACCATATGCAAACGTGAATACCGCAGGGCAGGTGGGACGAAGTAAAAGGAATTCCCAATGTGGCCACGAACCGTGTGAGGGGTGCGCCACGCTGGGGCGGGGCCGCCATGCGAACCCTGCCGCCGAGGCCTTCGGTGGAGCTCCCTATGTCCCTGCGGGGCCACGAACCGTGTGAGGGGTGCGCCAATATGGGGCGGCGCCGCCATGCGAACCCTGCCACTGGGGCCTTCGGTGGAGCTCCCTATGGTGCCACGAACCGTGTGAAGGGTGCGCCAAAATGAGGCGGGGCCGCCATGCGAACCCTGCCACTGGGGCCTTCGGTGGAGCTCCCTATGGGGCCACGAACCGTGTGAGGGGTGCGCCAGAATGCGGCGGGGCCGCCATGCGAACCCTGCCACTGGGGCCTTCGGTGGAGCTCCCTGTGGGGCCACGAACCGTGTGAGGGGTGCGCTAAAATGAGGCGGGGCCGCCATGCGAACCCTGCCACTGGGGCCTTCGGTGGAGCTCCCCATGGGGCCGCGAACCGTGTGAGGGGTGCGCCGAAAATGGGGCGGGGCCGCCATGCGAACCCTGCCACTGGGGCCTTCGGTGGAGCTCCCTATGGGGCCACGAACCGTGTGAGGGGTGCGCCAAAATGGGGCGGGGCCGCCATGCGAACCCTGCCACTGGGGCCTTCGGTGGAGCTCCCTATGGGGCCACGAACCGTGTGAGGGGTGCGCCAAAATGAGGCGGGGCCGCCATGCGAACCCTGCCACTGGGGCCTTCGGTGGAGCTCCCTATGGGGCCACGAACCGGTTGCGGCCACTAGTATGAACCGTGTGAGTGGAGTGAACCGCCAAAATGGGGCGGGGCTGCCATGCGAACCCTGCCACTGGGGCCTTCGGTGGAGCTCCCTATGGGGCCACGAACCGTGTGAGGGGTGCGCGAAAATGGGGCGGGGCCGCCATGCGAACCCTGCCACTGGGGCCTTCGGTGGAGCTCCCTATGGTGCCACGAACCGTGTGAGGAGTGCGCCAAAATGGGGCGGGGCCGCCATGCGAACCCTGCCACTGGGGCCTTCGGCGGAGCTCCCTATGGGGGCCACGAACCGGGTGAGGGGTGCGCCAAAATGAGGCGGGGCCGCCATGCGAACCCTGCCACTGAGGGATTTAGTGGAGCTCCCTATGGGGCCACGAACCTTGTGAGGGGTGCGCCAAAATGGGCGGGGCCGCCATGCGAACCCTGCCACTGGGGGCTTCGGTGGAGCTCCCTACGGGGCCACGAACCGTGTGATGGGTGTGCCGAAATGGAGGCATGCGGGGGGTGATGCTGATGATGGCGCCGAATATCATGGTGATGTTGATGATGACGATGATGATGATGACGATGATGATGATGGTGGGAGGAGGGAGGAGGGGGGGGGGAGGAGAGGAGTGAGGACGCGGGCGCTGTCTCTTCAAAACGAGGACCCAACGCCACAGGATGGTTGGGAATAAAGCGCAATCGAACGGTCCCCATTTGAGGACCGAGCTACGCATAACAGAATTCTTCAACACGGCTTCCCGGAAAGGGTCGTTATTCCACCGGCTGGCGAAATACAAGTCTCGGGAACCCTGGTCGCTAACGACGTTGGCGGCGCCAGCGTGGTGCACTGCTAAGCGCCGGGTGCCAGCGGCGCGCTCCGCGAGCTCGAACTGCCCAGCTAGATCACGCAGGCTCTCGACGCGGCCGTCTCTGTAGTTTATATACTGAATAGCAGCAGTATTGTCCACGCGCAGCGCGACGCGCCAGCCGCGAAGCCATTCGCCTTCCCGGCGAAGGAGCTCCACGGTCACCCATAGCTCCTTAACATTGATTCGATCAGCGTTCGAAGCTAAAGTTGGGAAGTTGCCTGGCCAGATGCTGGACACCACGCGGCCGCAATCGCACATATGACCACCCACGAAGCTGCGAAGCGTCTGTTTCCGCTACCCGGAGGCAGCCGCCCGCGGCGAGCGCCCGCCAATTCAAAAATTCGGGGGACTTGGGGCCCCAGAGCGACAGGTGCCCTGCTGCGGAATGCAATGGCCGCTTCGGGGTTATAGATAGAGCACGAACCCACCAGTGCAGCTGTGAGAGAGCTTCGGGCGGGAGCGGTGACACTACAGGGTCGGCTTGTGGGTGCCGGGCCCGAATCGAATAAGCATTCACGCGATTGAGCGCTGCCCACGCGCGGTGTGACCGCCGGCGGCCTTGCAATAATACCTCGCTGATATGACATGCAAGGCCAGCAGCTGACGCCATGTCACGTCCTCTCAACGTGCCGACGGCATCTTGTGCTAAAGCTGAGCGGATCAGATTTTGGCACTTGTCGCACTTGTTCCGTTCTACAGACAAAACGTTAAGTTGTGCATCGAAAACCCAACCGACCCATGCCTGACTTCTCGCTGGGGGTTTTAGTCCATAGAGACGGGCACTCTGGCTTTCAAGAAGAAGCGCGCTGTAGATCGCAGTGCTTTCCAAGCTTCGTCTTCCGTGGGTTCGGAACCGAGTAGATCGTCCACGAAATCGGCCAATAGGGTGGATTCACATATGGCGAGTAGCCGCAGCAACTCTTTCAATGACTCGTCGTTGATGGCAGGTGACGTTTTCATGCCAAAAGGGAGGTGCAGAAATCTACCGTATTGCTGCCGGCCAGGCGAGCAAAATCCCAGCCAATCAGCGTCTGAAGGGTCGACGCGCAAATTGAGAAACGCGTCGGCCAAACCAACGACAAATAACCAGCTTCCGGGAGCCATTCGTGGAATGGCGAGCTCCACGGTGCCATAATTGACTGGCTTATCAGTTAAGGATTGTTGACCCCACTCTTGGATAAATCAATGATTAAGCGTGCTTTCGTGCGTTCCTCCTCCGGTCGGTCTACAGGGGCGCCATCCCTGGGCTTCAGAAGCAAAGCGCACGGATTGATATGCAGCGATGGCGGACGTGTCCGAACGGGAAAGAATTCGACTTTGCCAAGTGATTCCAACCGTGACCATTCTTGCTCCGCCCAACGTAGATGATGGCCCAAAGAAGGGTGACTTGAGAAAGATTGCGGAGAGAGGGAAGCAGCAACTTCGAGTGGCCATCCCTGCTCCTACAGTTGTAAAAGCTGGGGGCGACCGCCCAAACCACGCAGCCAATCAATGTTCAAGCGGAGTCCGCGAATGCCCCCGCACCAAACTGCCCGAACATCGGCGTCGCGGATTTCAGCCCAGCGAGATGCCAAACGGTGTTCGGGTTGACTGCTTTCGGGCGCCATCGTGTCGGATGAGAACGCCCCTTTTGGCTGAATGTTCGAGCCAATTGCGCTGCGGCTTGTAGCCCAACGCTCGGCGCGCAGATCCCAGGGCAGACTGCGCCACCCGAGGGTATAAAAAGCTTAGGACATGACGGCGGTTTTCGCGCGCCAGTAATGAACAAATGCGCCGCCCCCCAGCGACTGTGAAACAGCCGGCGGGCCAGGTAACGAGCGAAAGATTACAGATCACCACAGCCAGCGGCAACGAGGAACCGCCGACGAAGCCAGCTGCGATAACCCACCCGGCACCGCGGGGACGTGACACCCCGAGCCCAGAACCAGCGACGTGAAGACGTCAGCAAAGCCGGTTGGGCCGCCTGCGGAAACGAAGATCCTCGGAGTTGAAGCGCGAAGCCTGCGACATAGGACCCAACGTGGTGACAACAAAGTGTGGCTCTTTTCTTCCGCCGCTCTGGATGATAAGGAAGCTGGGGGACGGCCCTGGGGAGGTTCAGCTCTAGATCCCCGAGTGCCCAGAAAGCTTCGCTTTCCGGGCAATCAGGTGACTGCGGGGGGCAAGCGTTTTGCTTGCCCATCAGCGGCAGCCTTGCCCTCGCCCCCCCCCCAGGCACCAGTGTCCGAAAAGTGGGCGATCGGCGGGTTGGGGGGCGTGTGGTCTGACTTCTCCTGGTCAGTCCGGCGTCTTTGATCCCGTCCGAATCGCTGCGATTGACCGACCCTTTCCGGGTGAAGGCCGCCCCCGCGGAAATTGTCGGGAGACTTCGCGTGGCGAGCAGGTGCGATGGAGAGAATGCGTCGCTCGGTTGCTACTCTCTCGCTGCCGCCCCGCAGCCCCAGGCGCTCCCGGGGCAACTCCCTTGTCTGAGCTGCGGGGGGAAGGCGGGCGCTAAATGGAAGAGGACCCGATCGAATGTCGCCCTAACGGAACAGTCGCGCGTCCGACTCTTCGTTTCCTGGGTCGCCTCCCCTTATCCAAATCCTCGGCGTAGGCGCCCTCGCGC